ATATATATATATATATATATATATATATATATATATATATTATAATAATAATAGAAATCAAATTATGTTTGAATCAAATAAAAGTATTATAAATAATAATAATAAAATTAAGTACTTAACTTAATTATACACTAAAATTTGAACTCAATTATTAATTAAATTAGAACAATTTTATATCCATTAACTTAAATAATTCTAGATTGACACTTTGATATATAGAAATAAGTCAACTCGATTAAATGCAAAACTCATTTTCCTATAGTAGAATAGCTAAAATGGTTTATGAGTATTATCAATATAGCATTTCTTTTAGGTGAATTTATTAATTTAGAAGTGGAACCAATCCAATCCGATGAGAATAAACGAGTCCAAACTAGTATATTTTATTTTATTGATTGAATTTCATGTGGATTTTTATTCTTCAAATTACATAACATTATAAATTGTTTTAATTATGACTCTCAGCTAAAAAAAGTATAAAAAAAAAAGAATTTTTAAAAAAGTCAAACAAACAAGTCCAAACTAATATTACATTGTTCAAATATATAAGATTAAGTTACTTAAGTTAATAAAATTAAGAAAAAGTAATTATTTTAGTTGATAATAATAACTTTATTTTATTTATATTTTTTAAAAAATTATCCTTATATTTCTTCTCTTTCATAATTAATATTTATATATTTTCTAATAAATTAGAGTACATATTTCATATTATTTTTTCCTTTTAATTAATACTCATCTTTCTAATCTTTAACTAATTAAAGTGTATATTTTTTTTTAAATTATAATTAAATTTTTATTTAAGTATAATTAATATATGAGATAATATAAATTGAGTTTTATATAAAAGAATAAATTATTGTTATATAAGTTGTATTTTATAAATAGAAATGGAGTTAATATATCTGTGTTGTTTTAAAACAGGAAGAGTAAAGTAAGACTTGTGAAATAATAAATAAGGAAAAGTTTAGTAGGATTGGTACAGTAACAAAAGATTTTGATAATTCATACTATGTTATTGCATTAGCCACAGCATTATTATTGGACATAAAAAAGAATATACATGAAACAGAGGAAGGATATTCTGGCGAGATGCTTAACGACGTTAAGAACGTTGAGTGATCACGGAGCATGCGTTGAGACGGGGTCCACGTCACCGTCCAATTTGTATCAGGGATGCATCGCCAGCCACATACATTGAATAAATGGACCATGGACGGTAGTTTTAACTTTTAAAAAGTTTAGAATCTATTTCATAACCTCACAAATAAATTTTTCTTGTATATATTTCTATATATTATCCGGAGAAAAGAGAAATATTATAAGGGAGATCGAATAGCATGATTCAAAAATTCACATTTTTTTTGGTAGAATAATAAAATAGTAGCGTAATAAGTAGAAAAGAATAGATAAAACAAAGAATCAACCGAGGAATTTATGTATATCAATTTGTTTCAACCATCAAGATTATGTCCAGTTTTTGATCCAATTAAATCAAGTTTCTCTATTAATGGTTCTATAATAAAAAAGAAAACAAACAAGAACAATAGGAATGAGAAAATCTAACAAGAACGGAAAAATGTAAACACAAAAAAAATGCAATAACAAACGAAAAAGATTGAGATAAGAGAATACAAAAGATCTATGTGGTTCAAACAATTTGGCCTACATCCACAAGAGATAGCAAATTTTCCTATCTGAAAAACAAGATCAAGTTTTTACAATAAAGCAGTTATTGCTCTTCTCATAAATCACTTAATTTCTCTAATCAGTTCTCTATTTCTCTTTACATATCTTTTTCCCAACTCTCCATGCTAATACTTAACACTTTGCTATTCGCACTTCTTTATGTGTGTCACACACTTAGAAAGGATCCCCAAACTATATATATATATATATATATATATATATATATAGAGAGAGAGAGAGAGAGAGAGAGATCAAAGAAACTAGGACTAAGTCTTATAAAATGGGACAGACTGAACCTATCAAACTAATGAAGACAAACTATATATATAGTCTGAACACATTAGATGAATAGAATCAAACTAAACTTATAAGCCAAGAAAACTTTTACAAAGCATATAGATGATACAAAAGATTTTTGAGTCATAGTCAACAATTCTCCACCTTTACTCTAAATCTGTAGAAAGGAACCTTTTTGACAATAGTATTGCTCTCCCACTTCAAAACAAACATCAAACGAAGTTGATCAAGTTCAAGCAATGCTTGAACTTGGATGTCATAAGAGATTTCGTAAACACATTAGTAGGATTGTTTTCAAATGCAATCTTCTCAATCTTAATTTCTCCAAATTTAACCACATCTATGATAAAGTGAAGTCTTATATCAATGTGTTTTGTCCTCTCATGATAAACTTGATGGTTTGTAAGGTGTATTGCATTTTGGCTATCATAATGAACTATCACACAATTTTGTAATATACCCAATTCATCAATCATCCCTTTTAACCATAAAGTTTCCTTCACTCTTTCAATAAGAGCAATGTATTCTACTTGTGTTGTAGCCAAAGCTACCATAGGTTATAAATTTATTTTCCAACTAATAGCAATTTCAAATAAAGTGAACACATACCCAAATAAAGATTTCTTGGTATCCACATTTCTTGCATAGTTTGCATTAACATACCCTATAATAGTTTTTCCATCTTAAACTGTCTTTTTATGCCTCAAACCAGATTTTTTAGAACCATTCAAATACCTCAGTACCCACTTCAAAGCCTCATAGTGAGCTTAACCCGAATTTACCATAAATCGACTAACAATGCTAATAACATAAGCCAAATCAAATCTATTATAAAACATGTCATACATGATACTCCCTACTCCACTTGCATATGGAATAGAACACATCTCCCTCCTTTCCTCTTCGATGCTAGAAGCTTGTGTGATGGAGAACTTTGTGTGATGACACAGAACTGTTAACTGTTAGAAAAGATGGCTTAACCAAAGGGGTGAATTCGTTATTAGATTTTCTTACTGAATCTTCTTGGTTTAGAAAAAATTTTCTAAAACTTTCTAAAGAAGTATATTGATATATAACTGTATATAGGATATGATGTTGAGACTATGCAAATGAATTCACGTTTTCATTTAGTCTTATATGCAATGTTCATGTTTCATATCACATAACATCAAGCATTAAATCAGATTTGCAAGAATGTAAATACAAGTGTAGGGATAGAGCGAGAAAAATGTACAACCAATTTATATTGGTTAAGTCACATCCATTTGTGACCTACATCTAGTCCCTAATCAACCTGATTAACATTCTAATTTTTAATATTAGAAGTTTTGCAATCATAATATCACATGCAATATACTTAATATCTCAATTTTTCATACTAGTTCTCTTTTCAAATCATTTTTAAAACTTTTTTTTTCATTGTTAATCATCATCTAGATAGAGATATAAAGCTAAGCTACCTACAAAGCACAAAACATACAAGTTACAAAGCTTAAGCACAACAATATACAATTTCACTCTTCTCTTTCAAGCGACTATTTGTAATTATCAAAACTAAATATGTTATGTCTTCATCTTGAGCTTGATCAACAAACTTCCTTTTTTTATGATGATAAATCCTTCTTTCACTTGTTTTAGTTAATCCATTTAAAACCAAATTGTACTTTTATCCTAAATAGTACTTTTGTTGCTTCAATACTTGTAATAACAACCTGCAAAACAATTTCATACCTCTCCCCTTTTGGACATCATCAAAAATAATATATAATACAAAAATTAAGACAAATACCATACATTGTAGATTATATAATCAATATGTAAACATCATACACTTAATGTAAAACTTAAAATGTAAACAATGAAAATTTTTAGAATAACTAAAGCATTCATTATATCAAACAAAGTTATATAAAGTTTAAAATCAGTACATTAATCCAAATTTAAACATAGTTCATAACACCAAAATATTAAAATTATTACAAAGCAGCAACAAATGAAACATAACATAAGAAAGATCAACCAAAAACTAAACTAAGAACAAGCCATCAACACAAACAAAAATTCCTAAACTAAGATCTTCAATCTGAATCGTCCTCGATCCCCAAATGATGTTTGATCTCGTTGATCTCATCTTGAAGTTCATCAAATTTGTCAAACATTCCAAAAATGTTAACTCGGGCTTCTTATTGACTTCCATGATAATATCCATCTTGTTAATCAATACTTGCTCAAACAAAGAAAATGGTTTGAGTTACAATTCCACTTCTCTAGCTCGTTCTATTTCTTGTTCTTTAGCATCTCCCCATCACCAACAACTTCATCCTTATTAGCCATAAGATCAGGAGTTTGAGGCACTTCACCCTTAAAAACCCATCTATTTTCTTGATTCTTCATCCCCATGTGATGAAGAGATGCTTTCCCAATCTTGTTAGACAAATATAGAACAATTTTTTTTCACTCGTGAGATCCACACCACAATGCTCAAACACTTTACAATAAAAGTGCATAAGGTTAAGGTCCATCCTCTTTTCTCTTTACTTTCCAAATACAGTCATTCGTAATAGAAACCCAATCAATCTGCACCTTATTCTTAATAGCAAACTTAAGCAATAAATCATCCCCGAACATTTGAGCATGTCTATGGAACCTAGGCTTAATCATCCATGCAATATTAAAAGAAAT